AGTGCGAGCTGCAGTACTAAAAATGAGGTTTTGGTGGTTCGGAGTGGCTTCACTCAAAAGAGATGCATTCCACTGGGTGCCTAAAGGACAGCCGGAAACGCGGGACTTCACAAAGAGGTGCAAAACGGAAAGGCCAACTGTTGCGATTTACTTAGATGAATTACTAAATTAAAATGTGTTAATTCGGCAGTCAGGACAGTCATCACTCACCCTAAAGAGGGTTGCCTCAAATGGCTCCATGGCACCATGTCGGAGCCACCATGGAAATCACACTAGACAAGAATGGATCATTATATGATCCGTCAGGAACTGAATCCTGAAACATGCAGATTAGATACGAAACAATGCAGGTACGTTTACACGGGTCCCGGGGGGGTGTCTTCGGTGGCCACCGACCCCCCCGGGACCCCGGTGGCCCCCTGCATTAAAATTAGAATTAGAAAGGGAGAGGACAAAGGAAGAAAAAGAGAGAGAAGTTTTACATCTATTTAGATGTTACACACACACACACCATGGAAAATCCAACCCATGCCATTGGCAAATCCTCCATCAAATCAGCCTACCAGTTTTCTAAGATCACATGGATTTTTCACAGCAAATATCTCCATATATCTCCATTATTCGATAGAAAAAAACATTGTTTTTCCATGGATTTTCCATGGATTTTCCCATCAAAAACACCGTCATTTTCCACGGCATCATCTACTGAGGCCTGGCCAGCCTGAGCTGGACCTTCATCGCCCCCAGACCCGCGCCCGAGATCGCGGCCCCAGCCGTCCTGGCCGCCTTGGCGCCAGCGGCGGCGCAGGCAGTGGAGATGCCGGAGGGGGGAGAAGTGAACTGCATCTAATCGCAATCGCTGATTGGTTTTGGTTCTGTAGTTATGTTTTTGTTTGGTTCTGGTGCTTTCATGATCTTATGTGGTTTCTAGGTCAATCTTAGGCGGGCAGTTTAATCCTTTAGTCTTTTGGTATCCATTGGATTATTTGCTAATTAACCAGCTATTTTTTGGGGGGGGGGGCAGGGTACCTAAGATTGGCACTGGAGTTTCTTTTTGGACTACAACTTATGAGAGCAAGCATAGAGCGCGCTCTCTGGAAAATCATATGCACGATAGTCATCCCAGCAATTCCAGTGATATCCCCCCAAACATGGCTGGTTCTCTCCCCATTGAAACACAAGAATTTCCAGAATTTCCAATGGTCACGGTCCCTATGAGTTCCATAAATCACTATGATAACTTGAGTTTTTTTCACGGGAAGGAATTTATTTAGTTGTTTTTTCCGGGTGAGTTTGTTTTTTTGTTCGTCCTTCTTGTTACACCGTCCATTGCTTTCTGCTTTAGGGTGCCTTTTAGTTTTTTTTTTTACTTTATTTTTTCTGCTTCAAATTTGCTTCTCTGCTTTTTTGCTTCGCTGTTTTTTTGCTTCTGCTTTTTTGCTTCTGCTTTTCCGCTTCTTCTGCTTTTCTGCTTCTTCTGCTTTTCTGCTTCTTTGCTTCTTCTGCTTTTTCTGCTTCTTTGCTTCTCTGCTTCTTTGCTTCTCTGCTTTTCTGCTTAGTCTTTGATTCTCTGCTTCTTTGCTTCTCTGCTTTTCCGCTTCTTTGCTTCTCTGCTTCTCCGTTTTTGTTTTCCGCTTTTCTTTTCTTTTTGCTTTTCTGCTTTTTGCTGCTTCTCTGCTCCTCGGCTTGCCTGCTGTCGTTTCTCTGCTTTCTTCTTCTCTGGGTCTTTTTTTATGCTTTGGTGTTTGTTTTATTATGTGTTTCTCTACTTTTTTGTGTTTGATGTGCCATGGCAAAAACATTGGTTACTTTCCCCAAAAAAGCAATTTGCCATGAATCCATTCATAGGGATTTGTATACCCATGGTAAGGGTTGCCATTATGAGATGGGTGATCATACAGATCATACATTATATACCATGTTTTGACCCTAGCACGTATGGTTCTGGTTCTTTAACCCGTGTACATCTTTAATGTTGTTGGCCTCTTTGTTTCTTTCCTGTTCTTCGCCTGCGCTTGGATGCTTCTCTCGTTTCTGTATGGGTGCTATTAATGCGATGTGCTCGTCTCTCTTCTTCTGTGTAGTCTCTGGATGAGATTGCCTGAATTTCTTGCTCTTGCTCTTGCTCTTCTCTTCCCTTCCCTTCCCGTCCGTTCCCTTCTCTTCTCTTCTCTTCTCTTCCCTTCCCTTCCCTTCCCTTCCCTTCTCTTCTCTTCTCTTCTCTTCTCTTCTCTTCACGACAGCAACATAAACCACAGCAACGACAACAACAACAACAACAAGAACAAGAACAATAACAAGAAGAACAAGACGACCAACAAGAAGACCAACAAGAAGACCAACAACGAGACCAACAACCAGACCAACAACAAGACCAACTTCAACACCTTCAACACCTCAACACCTTCAACACCTTCAACACCTTTAACACTTTCAACACCTGCATCACCTTCAACACTTCCAACACCCTTAACACTTTCAACACCTTCAAACCCTAACTCCCCCACCCCTCACCCCCCACCCCCCACACCTAAACGCCTAACCCCTCCCACCCCCTACCCGACAAGCATAAGAACTGCAAAATCGTGAAAATTTATAGTTTCTAAATGCTGCAAATAGGGAACAGGAATCCGAAAAAAATCCTCCGAAAGAATTCCCCAAATAATGTTCCACCCTTTTTTTGCACCCCCCTTGGCTTGATGGCCGCAGCTTTGCAGGTGGGCTCTAGTGTGAGCACCTCCGCCACGGTGGAGGCGTTGATGTTGGGCATCGTGCTGGGCACTGCACCTTGGTGGTGGATCCATGATGATCTGAAACTGGGAAAATCATCTGGAACATCCTGTATAGTTTTTTCGAGGAATACTGAAGACATGGATTCATGAAACTGGGGAAAATGCGTGAGATACACTTTCCATGTATACAGCAAACTGGCCAGGCAAACACTGAGATGGTTTCCGCTCTGAAATCTTTGAAAAAAAGGGAATACTGATATAAAGAGAAAGCCAAGATGGGACAAGATGTGAATCCCAGCTTTGGGGTTGAACATGGACCCTGTTCAGCCATAAATAGAGAAATAAATGGTAGGGCGGAGAATTGTTTTTGCAACAAACATATTTTGCGGTAGCTTCACAACAACTTCAGCTGCTCAGTTGGAGAAGACCAACAGAACTCCGCAAAAAGAACTTCTTCGGTCCTGGAATTGCTTGTTCAGGTGTTTTCTACAGGAAACGCCCCATATGTCGGGATAAAAAACAATACGAACAATGCTTTCCTGTAAATTTTCAAAACCAATCCAATGAAGATTGTTTCCGGTAATGTTGATTGAAATCAATCCTGGATAATCCTTGAAAACAACGGATATCTTCAAAATCCATGGTGCCAACGATGATCGACTCAAGGTTCCCATCACCGTCCTGGGTCTCTTCGTCTCCGCCTGGCTGCAGTTCAAGAAAGGCTGCTGAGTTCAAATTCAAGACCGTATGGCACAGTCACTGGTGGTTTCGGATATGATAACTGATAATGTATATATATATATATATATACATTATATATATATGTATACACATGATAATAGCAATAAAAATAACATATATATATATATATTATCATTGAATGATAATATATATATAGTAATAATAGTTGTAATAATAATAGTAATAATAATAATCATAAATAATAATAATACTAATAATAATAATAATAATAGTGCTGTAATAATAAAATCAAAATAACAGTAATAATGATATCAATAATAATGATAATAATAACAACAATAATAATAACAATAACACATATTAGTAGTATGTACACACACACACATATATATATATATATATATACATACATGTGTGTCTGTAAGTGTATATATATATACACAGATTGTATGTTTGTACATGCAGATAGTTAGATGGATACCTAGATGGATTGATGGATTAGATGGATGGATGATACATGATACATGATACATGATACATGATACATGTGTGTTTTCCACCTCAGAGTGCTTCTGAAATGGAACGGTAGTTTGAGATTTAAACTGATTTCCTAGCTTGGGTGGGTTTATTCAATCGCTGAGGTAGTCAGAAGAAACTAGTCACATAATGCTGTGAACCCAAGAACAGTCCCCCCAGTGAGGTATGCTATTTCATACCTTCCAAATTCCCAAGCAGTACAGTGTGGTATTATCATTGGGTTGGTTTAAAGGAATGTTTACAGGACCCCCCCATGTTGTCATGGGAAAAAACCATGTGTTTCCTATAGATTTTCTGATAGCCACGCCTCAGGTCCTACTCTTGGCATCTGAGGGCCGAGCCGCCGAGCTTTCCGCAGGAAACCCATGGCGTCCATTTTTTCAATGCCCTGGTGACAGCACGTCTTGCTCATCTTGAGGATGTGGTCATGGCCAGATGGTGAGAGCAAAGGTTTGTACACATCCGAAACCTGACATTAAGATACATTGGAAACCATGTGTTTATCTGTGTGTTCTCATATGTTCTCCAGAATCAGACCCAGAGCAAGAAACCTGGCCAAAACGCTACGTCAAGCGTGGCCAAGAGTTGCCATCTAACAGGGGAAAAAAACACCGAAGGCAGGACTTCTCGAAGATGCACCATGGGATTTTCTCAGTATGAACCAGCAGAAACAGAGGGAGTTGATCACAAATTCGGTGGGAAAATGGAGAATTGGAACTGGTAGTTGGGCTAGTCCAGCCTCATTGAAAGTACAGGACATCCTTGCTACCCTTTGCCAATGTTCGACCAACGGGAGCCAAGAGATTTTCCCGTGCCAGGGTTGCCAAAAACTGCCAGTAACTGTAGGAACATCTAACCAATATTAGTAACATCTATTTGCCCCCCAAATGCGGAAAATTCTAAAATTGAGCTCTAGAGCATATATTATATAATTATATGAGTAAAAGCATATATACATATATACATATCATATTTTTCATATTGATCCATTATGTTTTTCCATGACTGGGTGCTGGCGCAGTCAGCAAGGTCTGGGACTTGGTCTTCCCCACACTGACCTTGTTGAACTTCGTGCTGGGCGCCACCAGTTCCTCACCGGAGGAGTCCATTTTTTTCATCGGTGAAAGTCATGTTACTATTGGAATCCAATATGGATATAATGTATAATGTTAGTCTGTTAGTAGAAGCAAGTCATATTATATGCTTAATACGTAGTGAATTCCAGTCATATCCCAATATTACTAAGATTAATCATACATGTTTGAATCCAGTATTAGTATGTTAGTAGTATTCATTTGTTATCATTTGGTAATATCCACCTTATAAGCAGTCCATTTCAGTAATTCATGTGGTAATGATAATATGCAGATATGCATGTGTCATGAAATCAATGCTAATTAATTTCATTGGAATATGCATTGGTTAATATTAACCCTAGTAAATTCATTTCAGTAATAGTAGTATTCATGACAATGTTATTGGGATCATACTCCAAAGCAACTTATTTGAATGGTACCGAGTGACAACCATTGTTAACTTAAAAACGTGTCGATCCACTTTCTAGCTTGGAATGATGCCAGAAAGCTGTGAATAGCCTTTCACTTCGAATTTGGCATAGGGGTCAAAACAAAAGGCTCCAAGCATAGGGTGTTAGACGACTGATTACATACAAAATATAGGTTTACCTATTTAATTACACCTGCAATACTGGTACACTGTTCTTTTTATGTTCATCTTTTCATATCTTTTCAGATTGTTCGGATGGTGGAGGTTTTGCTTGTTTTCACCAAACATTGTAATTACTAAGAGAATGTAATTATCCAAGGTGCCCTCCGGTATCCATAGTTCGAATTGATCCCAGGAATCTTCTGGAACCAGATCTTTGGTTCCACTTTCAGATGATCTCAACATCTTGGCTAGCATAGAATCATATAACCTCTGGTAGCTCAACAGTTCGCCAGTGAAAATGGCCCATTTAGTTCGATGATTTACCGAACTTGAAGATGGTGATTTTCCATGGCTATGTGAAAAAATACTAGAGGGTAGAATCCCCGAATTCATCAGCAACCATTTTGTTGGCCGCGGTGTTTCGCAAATCGAGGTGTTGTCATCCGCAGCGTGGTCCGGAGCTGAGATCCATGCGGCCTATGCTGATGATCTCTGCAAAGGCTCCGGGGACCGTTGACCCATAACTCAGGTCATAGCGCCTTACCTGCTGATCCACTTTTTCAGGACATGGGACGATGGGAGCTGTGGGTTGCGGAGCTTCATGGATGATCCAAAGGTAAGGACAAAGACTTGGCAGCAAGAAATAGTGATATACATATATATATATAATATGGTATAATTATATTCGATAGATGGAAGTTGAAGAATTAGTTGGACAGCTTGTGGTCGCCTTGTGTACATGTGTAAGCAGCAAACCTAGGATATACTTATAATTATTTTAAAATCTCAACTCATGAGCCGCAATCCCGAGAGGCTTATCCATGCGCATAGCAGCTCATCCCAATTGCCCAAGCGCCAGGGTAGACATCACGTACCTGCCGAGCGATTTGTGCGATTGGGACTGGTCTTTCCAACCCTTTGTCTCCTTGGTGTTGCACTCCTACAGGCGACGGTGTGGTGACAACATCTCCTTGTTTTTTGTGTTTAAACTCCCATTGGGTAATTCAAAATGGCATCGGAAAACAAGAATCGCACTTGTTGCTAGGTAAATCATCTATAAATGAGCAATCTTTCAAAACTATAACTATGTAAAACAAGAAAAACAGACAGAGGGTAGCATTTGTCCAAGCCGTCTTTGGATCCTCCCAACTGACATTTTTGTTCTGCAGGTGGTGACCAATGCCGCCAGATGTAAACCTGGTAAGCCTTCGGGAAAATCTGAAAACATGTTTTGATACGATAACATTGGTATACATTGGTAATAATCCTTTGATGAGGTGCTGCCCCATAACTTGGTCTACAACGGTTTAAAGTGGGGTTCATGATGAGAGTTATATGCAGGTATGTGAGTAGCTATAAGCAAACTTATATACAGACTTTTACAGCAACCCAAACAATGATTGACAAGTGAATCTATGTACCCTCTGGTAATGACTAACAGTTCGCTATTGGAAATGGGACTTTGAGTTCGTTGATAGTGATTTTCCATAGCTATGTTCGTTTCTCGGAGGGTATATCCCAGGAAATCCATATTAAATCACGAGTAAATCCCTATTTTACCCGATCATTTGATGAAACATGTAGACATAGGGCACCAGCCTGATGCTGCGACGAATTGGGCCAGGCGGCTGAACCCCATCCTGCTGGCCACAGTGGCGGAGCTCGGAAAATCGGCACAGGCCTGGCCCGGGAGGTCCTGGGGGGAATCTTACAGGATATTTATGGATATTTAGCATCCAAAGTCTGGTCTGGTTGGTGGTTTGGAACATGAATTTTATGACTTTCCATGTATTGGGAATAATCATCCTAACTGACGAACTCATATTTTTCAGAGGGGTAGGTATACCACCAACCAGTGGTGATGTTGCCATAAATATCCATAAATTGGATTTCAACCAACCACCAGGATTTCATTGGCAAAACGTTCGATGCCGGCAAACATGTATTCCTTATAACTGGTTAACCAATTGGATTTAACTCTCAAAATGGGTAAAGAACCTGCGAACATGTCGGTGGAATGTGAGTTAACTAAGTAAGATGGTGACTTTGTCAGACAATATGGGTGCGGCTGAAAAAAATCAATCACCAATGGACCCACAAACGGTTGGACATGTTTGGCATTGCACCATTGTGGGGGATAAGCTTGGGCCATATCCCGATGCTGAGGCCTGAATTTGCCTGTGAATAAACATCTCAAGTGTTTCTGCATTTTGTAATGCTAATTTATCCATTGATATATGTAATATTATGTAATATTTATGTAATATGACAATCAGACTGATAGCAGTCTACACTATACAGGCTGCTGACACTCCTACTCCTGTCTACCCTGGTGGAGCGGTTGTTTTTCATGTGCCCTTAGCTTAGCTGAACTCTTCGAGAAGGCGATGGAGAGAGAGAGAGAGAGAGAGATATACATTATACATTTGTGTTTATATGCTAATTTCACACGGATAAAGCAATAAACAAACGGATCAAACGGTCCGTGGCTGGCGCACCACTGGCGAATAAAAATGCTCTCCATATCACAGTCTAGGCGTGAAATGGGGAATGGTGCCATAGTACCAGGTGCCAAACGTTGAGCTTGTGAACATCCAATTCCGTGATGATGGATTTCAGAAAAAACGTAGACATATCATATCAAGACATGTTTTTTCATTCTGATGACATAGGTGATAGGTCTATAGTTGTCATGTGAGTATGAAGATTGGCTGGTGTTTTTGTTGGGTGTAGGTATTACAGTAGATCCCATCCAACAGCAGGATGGATCACCAGATTTTTGGTGAGGCCTCCAAACGAAATCGCGAAGTTGACGCACATAACTTGGTGATCGTGTTTTTTCATTTTGCTCCATGGATATAACATGATATAACTAATAAGGGTTTAGAAGCAATCTAAGAGTCATATAAATAATGGATACTCATGTCACTCATGTTTATAATTTACCTTACAAGCCAACATGTTACCATATGTCAACATTCACAAAGCCATGGGGCCTCATCCACGCCAGGATGCCCAGAGACCTCCATCACAAGAGGCGCCTAGGGCGTTCGGCTCCTGGGTCCGATCGCCCTCGGTGAATCCCGGAGATCACCCAGTCATGGGATATGTGACCCTCTGGTAATGACTAACCAGAAAACATCGGTAAACATTAACCAGAACTATGGTTCAAATCACCATGTTTAATGGGTAAATCAACTATAGATTGTTGAACATGGTGATTGTTAGTGGATTTACCCAATGATAGCATGGTGATGTTCCATAGTTTTTTGAGGTTTACCAGACGGTAACGTAAGAGATTATAAGTACAACCATGATATTATATCGTGCTAAAGATTTCAGAAGTTCTGGTTCACTGGTTCTATCACAACTATCAACAACTACATAATAATTACCTGGTTGGTGGTTCGGAACATGACTTTTATTTTTCCATGCCGTTGGGAATATATAATCATCCCAACTGACTAATATTTTTCAGAGGGGTTGAAGCCACCAACCAGCTACATGGTTCGCATATGGGTGAATTCTATGAACTCTATTGGTGACCTATGACAGTGAATTATATGAATTCTATGGTTCTAATGGTTTTATGAATTATGATTTATGGATGCTAATGGTACGTCTAGATATACGATGACTCAATTTTCCGGACAAAAACATAATATGTAATGCACTTAAATCCTCAAAGTACCCAGGTTAGTCAATAGGTTTAACCCTCACCATGGAATCTTGCTCTTCAAGTTCTTCCGCCCGGTTTCAAATTCCACGGCGAGGTACCGGTTTCAATTCACACATCGTGGAGAGGATGGGATATGACAATGCCAAAAAAACAATTACTTTACTTCGTGTGATCCCCACCATGACATTTATACATTTTCTTACTGGCAAATCTTCTGGCATTCTATCTGACATATCTTCTGACATTCTATTTGGCATTCTATCTAGCATATCTTCTGGCATTCTATCTTCTGGCATTCTATCTGGCAAATCTTCTGGCATTCTATCTGGCATATCTTCTGGCATTCTATCTGACATATCTTCTGGCATATCTTCTGGCATATCATTCTGTCTGGTATATCTTCTGGCATTTCTATCTGGCATATCTTCTGGCATTCTATCTGGCATATCTCATGGCATTTTATCTGGCATATCTTCTGACATTCTATCTGGCATATCTTCTGACATTCTTTCTGGCATATCTTCTGACATTCTGTCTGGCATATCTTCTGACATTCTTTCTGACATATCTTCTGACATTCTATCTGACATCTTTTCTGACATTCTTGCCGTTGAGGTCCGGCAGTGCCCACTGCGATCTGGAAGTCGCGGTTGAGGTCCGGCAGGGAACACTGGGCGTGGATGGTCGTGGTTGAGGTCCGGCAGGGAACACTGGGCGGGGATGGTCGTGGTTGAGGTCCGGCAGGGAGCACTGGGCGTGGGTGGTCGTGGTTGAGGTCCGGCAGAGAACACTGTGGATCGCGGGTCGCAGTTGAGCAAGGACGACGAGGACGACGAGGACGACAAGGATGACAAGGAGGACGAGGAGGAGGAGGAGCAGGAGGAGGCGGAGGACGAGGAGGAGGAGCAGGAGGAGGAGGAGGAGGAGCAGGAGGAGGAGGCAACTGACATAAAATCTAACAACCCTCACCTGGCAGGTGGGGAATAACGTTGGAACAACTTGGAACATCCTTTAGAACAAATGGCTATCCCTCATCATATTCTATCATTTTCTATCATATCATCTACATCAGCACACCTACCGTGACGCCAGGAACAGGAACTGGGCACAGTGGATGCCGTTGATCTGACACTTCCGCCCAGTGGGGGGACACGGCGCGACGGGATAGATCCATTCATAGTGGTTAATAATGGGAGAATAGTGGTTGATCATGGGATCAATATGATCACAATAGATTTTTTTAGGAAAAAATCTATCCTCCAATATGATTGATATTGTTTTATCCTCTGGTAATTTGTTACCAATTGCTACTGAACATGGCCATAGAAAGTTCGTTGGTTTACCGAACTTGAAGATGGTGATGTTGCATAGCTATATGTAAACGTTTACCAGAGGGATCCAGAGGGAACCACCAGAAGATGACCACATAGAACGACTAGGATATCCGGATGTATCCGGTGTCAACCACGGCTATCATTTCCATAGCCACTGTTGGTTTACTGAAGGGCACACCAAAAAGGATGATTAGATATGATTAGTAAGAGGAATCCCAAGAATTATCACAGATCTGGTTGGGATTTACTGGAGAGCATTGAAACCCACGTTTTTTTTGAATAGAGAAAACAGGCATGGCGAAGGAATCCCCCCACCCACGCATGGGTATTTGATTTACTACAAATTAACGCAGATGGGAGTTATCCATTACCAGATGAGATGTTTGTGAGGGAAACCTGCAAGAATGCTGGTAATATGTGTATGTGATTATTCTCCCCATTTAAAGTTGGGTTGCAGCCATAAACCAGGTGACTTGCTTGTTGTAAGTTGTCACGACCCCCAAGTGCGACACATATTTGCATCAACTTCTTAAAAACAAGATGCAGCCCACGAACCCGAATGCTCACACGTATGTTCATGGTGATGATGTCGAAGCACATGGATATGCAGTCACGCAGAACACTTTTCTGCAATAGTTTATTTGAGAAGTCTTGTGTAGACGTACTTCCCCTGTTACCAGTCTGCAGTGTGGAGTGGAAAGTGTAGAGTGTGGAGTGTGGAGTGTAGAGTGTAACGTGTAGAGTGTAAAGTGTAAAACGTGGAGTGTGGAGTGTAAAGTGTGGAGTGTGGAGTGTAGAGTGTAGAGTGTGGAGTGTAAAGTGGGAAGTGTGGAGTGTGAAGTGTGGAGTGAGGAGTGTAAAATGTAAAGTGTGGAGTGAGGATTGAAAAATGTAAGGTGCAAAGTGTAGAGTATGAAGTGTGGAGTGTAAAGTGTAGAGTGTGGAGTGTGCAGTGGAAAGTGTAGAGTGTGGAGTGGGGAGTGTAGAGTGTGTAATGTGTAGAGTGTGGAGTTTGGAGTGTAGAGTGTAAAGAAAGTGTAGAGTGTGGAGTGTGAAGTGTGGAGTGGGGAGTGCAAAGTGTAAAGTGTAAAGTGTGGAGTGTAAAGTGTAGAGTGTGGAGTGAGGAGTGTAAAGTGTAAATTGTGGAGTGTGGGGTCTAAAGTTTAAATTGTGGAGTGTGGAGTGTAAAGTGTAAAGTGGGGAGTGAGGAGTGTGCAGTGGGTAAAGTGTGGAGTGTGGAGTGTAGAGTGTGGAGTGTGGAGTGTAAAATGTAGAGTGTGGAGTGAGGAGTCTAAAGTGTAAATTGTGGAGTGTGGAGTCTAAAGTTTAAATTGTGGAGTGAGGAGTGTAAAGTGTAAAGTGTGGAGTGAGGAGTGTGCAGTGGGTAAAGTGTGGAGTGTAGAGTGTGGAGTGTGGAGTGTAAAATGTAGAGTGCGGAGTGTGGAGTGTAAAGTGTGGAGTGTGGAGTGTAAAATGTAAAGTGTGGAGTGAGGAGTGTAAAGTGTGGAGTGTGGAGTATGGAGTGTAAAGTGAGGAGTGTGGAGTGTAAAGTGTGGAGTGAGGAGTGTGGAGGGTGTAAAGTGTAGAGTGTGGTGGAGTGTGGAGCGTGGAGTGTAGAGTGTGGAGTGTAGAGTGTGGAGTGTGGAGTGAGGAGTGTGGAGGGTGTAAAGTGTAGAGTGTGGTGGAGTGTGGAGCGTGGAGTGTAGAGTGTGGAGTCTAAAGTGTTAATTGTGGAGTGTGGAGTGTAAAGTGTAGAGTGTGGAGTGTGGAGTGAAAAGTGTAGAGTGTGGAGTGTGGAGTGTAAAGTGAGGAGCGTGGAGTGTGGAGTGTAAAGTGTAAAGTGTGGAGTAAGGAGTGTGGAGTGTGGAGTGTGCAGTGTAGAGTGTGGTTGAGTGTGGAGTGTAGAGTGTGGAGTCGGAGTGTAGAGTGTGGAGTTGGGAGTGTGGAGTGTAAAGTGTAGAGCACATTGTTGCGCCAACCTCACACAAGAACTTTCGACACGGTATAAAACGGGTTGGAATGTCACAAAGTGCCACGCTTGCCACGCAAAACGACATAACAGCCTGCTTCGAAACCTTCGAAAAGGAGATGTTTTAATTTTGCAGCTTCCCCCATAGACACATATAGACACGGCGACGCCACAGGAAAACCAGAGACTGGAGACGAGACACGTGGGCGCAGGAAAAACGTGCATTTCGTGCGAGACTTCCTCCAATTTTGACACTTTGCAGCTTCAAAACCGAAGTTTTCCTACGAGTTTTCCTTAGAACCTGAAAATTTGCTATTTACTTCAAAATCGATGTTTCGCACGAGGCTTCGTTAATTTTCAGCACATCTCACAAAATGCCACGCCTGCCACAGAATCTGCACCTTGTCGGCCCTGCCAATGCGATTTGCAAAAAACACGGAACGCGACACGTCTAAAGTGCTGCGCCTGCCACGCAAAATGACGATGGACACGTCCAAAGTGCTGCGCTTGCCACGAAAACTGCAACGCATCTTCTGAAAACGTCGCAAGAGTATTACGCCTGCCACACAAAACCACTTTCGACACATTACAAAACACGTCCGAATGTCACAAAGTGCCACGCCTGCCACGCGAAACGAAGCAACGAGACGTTTGAAACCTCCAAAAATGACACCGTCTGCAGAACTTACCAGAGGCACGGCCATATAGCAATCGCGCGAACGATTGCGGACGGTTGCGGACAGTTGCGGACGTAAACGCAACGTCGAGCGAACACACCCTCAGACCCCAGGCCCACAGAGTGAAACGGGAACCCTTGCTACGCATTCGGGAATAGTAAATGTGTTGCAGTTGGGACTCCATCTCTGTGAAGACCCTAGAACCTCGAAGAATCACCAACTTCTCATGGCAGTTTTTGAGGGACCTCGTGGCGAAATGAGTTGTAAGGACTGGGCGCAAGATGTTATCGGGTTGACAGCTCAAAGCTGCTCTCCAGCTTGGCTTTGTACATCTTTGTGCCACATGCGAGAGTTTGATTCTGATTCAAAACTGTACGAAATTATCTTTCTTTTTCATGGATCGATGCCACCATATGAAGGTTATCCAAGTATTTTGATGATGATTCAATTCACTATCTAAGTTTATATTTTATTAACCTTAGTGATTTGAATTTTGGACGTTGACTATCATAACTCTCTTGGTGACTATCCTTATTATCATTTCTTTTTTACATGAAACGTGGTGAGTTGTTGAACTTATTTAACATTATATATCTAACTATCTATCAATATATTTATCTATTAATGATTTAACTATTTTCCTACTTATACGTAGTTGTAAAAATCCAAATTTTATGTTATTCTATATTGTAGATTCATCACCCACAATAGTTAATACATAGTAATTTGTGTATTTATTTACCCTCAATGACTAGCAAAAAAAGGTAAATCATCGAACTACATTGTTATAAATGGCCCATGTCATAGCTATGTTCACCAACTCAAGGATAACTTCATTCCAAATTGGAAATGATCCTCCACAGTAGATTTAGAATCTAGTTGGGTTTTTAGGTAATTCTAGATATGTTCTAACTTCCTGAGATTCGAATCCCCATTTTTTCCCCGAAGTTGTCACCTCTCAGGCGTCAGTGACTTGACCCATGAAGTGCCACAGCGTGCGCGCACGACGCCGTACCTCGGCTGCGGGATCCTGGTGACCTGGCTGCGGGAGTCCCTCCATTGGAGGGTGAATCCCATCATTATCCCTATTTGTCGCTTAAATCCCAGTACGAAATCCCCCCAAAATTCCCAGTTTTTCTGGATTTGATGCTTAAAATATGGTTCATGGAAAATACATCATCTGATGATTTTCCCCACCTATATACTCTAAACCTCCATTTAGTTCGGAGATGTCCCACGTTGAATGACGCCAGGGGTCCACACAGCCGTCGGGCTCGGCAGCGTTGGCAGCTGGCCGTGATTCTGGCGCGCAATCCGCCGGGGCCGCAGGGACATGTGACCTGAAAATCTTCGGTTCAACTGTGAAACATGGTGCAACTTGCCCAGAAAAATGATGAGAGAGGAATATTGAACAAATGATTTGTTCAAATATCTAATTGTAGAAAAGATCCGAAGGTTGAACGTTGCATTTGACCAACGACAAAGTGATGATTTCTTGAGTTTAGGAGGATTTATGTTGACGTTGTTGGGTTCAGTGTCAGATTTTTATACTAATTACGATGAAACCTGTGGTTGTTTAACAAGGATGGGCCACCAAACTGAACTGTGAGAACGTTCAACCAACAATGAATCAGTTGGGTAATTTAGCACGTAGCTTCAATTTGCCTCGTGATTTCGCCGAAAAAAAATGTTGGTAATTATGTCCCGCCATCATCCGGGTTCTCGTCGTCATGCTACCACAGGAGAGGTGAACAACAATTATGCCCTCTTTCACAGGATAACCTGTCATGATTGCATCATGTTTACACATTTGACAAATAAGTCATGTGGCGTTGTATTCCACTGGTTTGTGGTTCTTCGAGTACCTTTATTTTATTCCACATCCATCTTATTTCTATATATACGGACGTTCCTTAAGCAACAACCAGCCAGAGTCAACTGACGGGGGTTCATGCAAAGTTTCCCTATATATGGTTTTTGATTTGATTTATACAATGAACTAACTTGTGCTGTTTATAAGAACTGGCTCACTTCTAAAGCTACTTCTGAAGTAACATGCTGCTGATGTGTTTCCCAATGTAAACGTTTATTGTTGTCCTGGGGTGGTTTCCTTTGAGGACCTTCCAGTAACTTAACCTGAACGTTGTACTGGAAATTGCTAAGCTATAATAATTTTCTGTAGTTTGATGTTTCTCCGATTCATTTTAGAGCGTACCGCCTACATCCCCTGGTGACTCATCATTGTCCAATATGTTTCCCCCATGGAAATTGCATTCTTTTTCAGATTGTAACGGCCTAAGAGCAGGTCTTTTTTCCCACAATGGTTGTGCCTCGTGGCTGTTGCCTTGGGAGCTCTCAGGTCCCTAAGAAGGCTGCGGAAGACCGGAGGCTATGCGCTGCGCGCCGAGAGTGCGCCCGCATGTCTGGGAACGGAGGCCGCGCAAGACCGGGGGAATGGCGAGAACGCTGGGAAAATTCATGGGGGATTTTCCATTGCCATGTTTGAGTACAGGGCAATCAGATTGGCCATGGAACATGGCATAACCTCCCCAAATATCGTAAGGATTTAAGAGTGTTGATGGAAACATCTATGGGCGTTTTTGCCATGCCAAGTTTGATTCTTTCGCTGGGGGGTATGCGCAGTTCCACTCTAAAAGTCAAAAAGGGATTGAAACAGCATTTCAGTTACTAGTTCAACTCAACCTTAAAATGTCCATACTTGACACAAAATCACGTTGTATAAAACCCAGAACCTTCGGCTGTTTTTGTTTAAACAAATTTCTGCATATTCCTCACTTGGATGGATCCAGTTGACCAGTTAGATGTTTTTCGGACCTGGGTCGGATCCAAACACCGATGATTTCATACATTGACCTGCCATATTTGACGGGATGAACGTCCATGTGCAAGCTATTTTGGAGTTCACATGGGGGATGGATCATTTTCATGACCTGCACGGATCGTCCCCATCCATCAATAGATTCAATGGATACTCCGACCTATACAGACATGACGTTGATTGATGATGATTTGTAATTGTTGATCCATTTAAGATAATTTACCATGGTGTTCCCGGGAATTACCATGGTTTTGCCGGGATTTACCATGGTTTTACTGGGATTTACCATGGTGTTACCGGGAATTACCATTGTTTTACTGGGATTTATCATGGTTTTACTGGGATTTATCATGGTGTTACCGGGATTTACGATGGTTTTACTGGGATTTATCATGGTGTTACCGGGATTTACAATGGTTTTACTGGTAATTACCATGGTTTTACTGCGATTCATCATGGTGTTACCGGGGTTTACGATGGTTTTACTGGGATTTATCATGGTGTTACCGGGATTTACCATGGTTTTACTGGGATTTTATCATGGTGTTACCGGGATTTACCATGGTTTTACTGGGATTTATCATGGTTTTACTGGGAATTATCATAGTGTTACCGGGATTTACCATGGTTTTACTGGGATTTATCATGGTGTTACCGGGATTTACCATGTTTTTACTCGGATTTACCATGGTGTTACTGGGATTTACCATGGTTTTACTGGGATTTACCATGCCTGGTTGATTCAGGTGGGTTTCCCCCCATTCCATATTTATCTGTATAATTATATAGTATTATTTTTATAAGTGACCGACTGATTTTTTTTTATTTTTTTAAAGTTCTGAATATTTTATTTTGTGGGTGCCAGACCCAGTGTTTTTGTTTTTTTTGAGATATTATATCTTGTCCCCACTAAGAGTACAATATTCTATCTTTTAGCCGGTCAGTATATAACATTTTATAACTAAATCAGCCGACGTGTGATAGCTTACATTACCCTTCCAGGTTACTGTAAGTCGATGTCACATAGTTGTTTTCTCAACACCCCGTTTTCTCACATTATACTTCATTTACATCAATTGTTCCAATATATAAATAATTTATCTACCATTTAATTTCCATATCTTTCTCTACATTTCCCAGTTCCACCCCCATCCTTCTTTAGGTGGACACCTTGATGCCCTTGCGGCTCCCGGGCCTCCCTCGGCGCCTGGAGAGCAGCTCCACGAGTTTCTGGAGCCCCTTGAGCCGCGCCGTGGGCGCGCGCACGCCGCTGCTGAGCGAGTCCGCGCCCGTCTTTCCGCCCGAGGAGGTGGGCGATCAGCCGTGACCAACGGAGCGGGGCCTTAAAAAGAAGCCCGCCGACGTGGCAAGAGGAACAACCGGGGATGGAAGGGTTGGAAGGATTTTTTTTGGGGATGTGTTGTTAGGTTATAGATGATTTTTATAGATTTTTTTTATATGTGTATATCATATTAGAGCAGTTATGAGTTCGTTTTGGCTGTTGAAACCTAAGTTTGAAATGGTGAAAGCTGGTAGCTGGGGTAGTTGTAGCGACTGGGAGGATCTGAGATGAGCAAAGTGGGCAACATTTGCCGTAGATCAGTAGATCTTGACATAACCATGCCAGGGAGTTGGAAATTGTGGTCATCGAGCCACCAGTTTTGGAGGTCACGCCATCAGTTTCAAGTGGGACTGCAACTGATGAGATATGACCAGTGACACGTTGGCACAGAACATCGTAGGACGAAGATAGGGCTGGATCGACTTCGTATGGCTTCATGATATAGATGATTGATGATGATTGGTTGTCTGGGAAGTCATCAAACATGACCTAGAATATCCTAGAATTATGTTAATTGTCTCTTTGGGACTTGTTCCATTTTGTTGCTTTAGGTGCTATTCCTGGTCAGCCCAGAAATGTAAATAATAGTATTTACTAATACCTGGATTCTGGTTCCTAATCTATATTTTACCGATATGCTGGTGATTATAGGCCATAGTGGAGTTCCTTGGTCTTGACACATGACCCTGTGGCCCCTGCGCAGGTCCACTACAGAGGCACGGCAGTGGATATACCCGGCCCTACATGGCTTGCTGGGAATTCACCGAACTGGGGAATTTCTCCAGCAAACCATGTTTGATTACAGGGTGTTGGAAAGAAGATGAATGTACACGTGGATATATTGTGCGGATACATTTGAATGTGCTGTATATCTGACTTAAGATCTTGGATGTACTCTCGTTGGGGCCCATTATGAAAATCCGAGGGCATAGGATTGTTTGATTGAAGCATAATGTAACATCTTTGAGCATTCAGGGGCCCCTTCTCGGACCTGTCCTTCCTGTTTTCTTGCGGGGTATTTGTTCTGTTTTGTCAACTTCCAGTTGAAACCCTCCTCATTATTGGGTGTAAACACGATGTTGTTTGAGAAATAATTTGACCTAGCATATCTGAACTTATCTGAACTTTCTGATATAGACCATCAAATCCCCTCAGGGTGAGAAAAACCCCGCAAGTGAAAAGCAACTCCATGACGGTCTCTCAACCACTAGCCTGCCATTTCTGGATCAGCACGCCACGTACGGATGGTACCAGCAGCGCTGTGCCATGGGCCCAATGGGGGAAGATCCCGGAAGCGTCTCCAGCTTTGCTAAGCGGCAAAGTTGGGACACTTAGAGAAATGGGAAGTACAACGGGATGGGAATAGGTCAATGTATGCCCAGTGTGGCATTTAATGTGGCATACTAAAGATATGTTATACATGATTTAGATACATATTACTAATTATGCCTATATTCATACACACGCGCATATATATATATATATATGTATATATATATATATGTATATACATATATATATACATACTTGAATTTATAGATATATACTGACACATCATTGACATTTTTTGTAGGCATATCTATGTTGGCACATTTTTTAAACCAAAATAATCCAAAAACAAAGATAACCACAAATCAAAGCAAGTAATCAGTTGGTAATTGCCATATATCCCCATGAAACTATATTGGATATACATGGATATACTGTATTCACCATGCATCTTGTGATAGTTCTATGTGAAGCTACCTCTTTGTCAACAATCACATAGAAATCCTCTATGTTTGCTGCTTAAGTCCGCATGTTAGCAAAAGACAACGCTGCCTTTGTTGTTTGAAACACTAGTATTCTACGGTTATATAATTCAAGACGTGTCGTGTTTCTGTTTCAACGCCAACATTTAATAGTATTATCACATTTACCATGGACATTATAGTTGATTTACTGTACCTATTACAAATAGTAATTTGTTTATAACTATCTTAGATTACCAGAGGGTAAATGCCCATTATTTTTTCCGAAGTACTGTTTGTTAAGTCCCTAGTCATCACCATAAAGTCATATAGAATCCCCCCCATTTAGTCACCATAAGATCCCATGAATGTCCATTATATAAACCACCATCAAATCACCTATATCATATTATTATTCAATCTAAAATTGTTATTTATAGGTCATGGTATTAATGGTAATTGTTCATAGCTATCTTAGATTACCAAAGGCTAAATTGAATGGATTGGTGTAAGAGACATTTTGCAGGAAACCTCTTTATTTCATGGGAAAAAACATGGTTTCCTGTAGATTTTCCCTTAAGTCAATCCATTGATAAATACCAGATGTTTGTATAGTTTTGTGATGTTTTTGTCCTTTCCCGTTCCAAGGACTTGGCGTTGTCCTGTCTGCTCCAGCAAGGGCCGCTCTCAGACGGCCGCGTCTATGTGCAGGTGGTCAAGGCCTGCGCGCAGCGCGTGCAGTGGCAGCACGCCTTGCTGGTGACGGACTGCAGCGCAGTGGTTTTTGTGGCCCTTATACTAGAAAATCATGGCTAGCATAGGAAACTATGGCAAGATCATGGGATGAAAATGGCATGAAATTGGGATTTCATTGCAAAGTAATGGGACAATCTACAGAAATCCACTATCAATGGAGGTTTCTAGCTAGGAAAATCAACTGTCTTGGCGATGATTTTCGGATTTTCACAATGGGAAATGCACTACCTGGGGAATCTATAGGGAACATATATATATATAGATATATATATATATATCATATCTATTCATTTATTTATTTTTATCTATATATATACATATGCAAAAGTGTTTTTTTGGGTGGAGATCCTTAAGCAAATCCAAGATAAGGATATGGTATGAATGGTTTGTAATGGTTAACTATGGGTTATGCTATAGCTATTAATATTTATACATATATATATATATGTATCAATATGGATTGTTTTCCGGTGATAGCAGAAGGAAGGATTTGCTCATAAAACATTAGATAGATCATAAACCCACACCAATCGCAAAGTTTCAGTGTGTAATGGCTCACTGTGTTGCTAACTGATATGGAATGTATCCTACACTATTGGTGATTGGGAATGGACATTAGATCAGTTTGGAATGGATCAACAAACATGCGACCTGGGAATTTGATGCCAAAATTGCAGGTTCAGGGAACCGGAGATGTTTGCCATTTAGGAATGGAACGGGAATATGGCAATTCATGATCAGCTATGAGTGGCCCCCCCCAAAAATGACTCGATTGGTGCTAAAGTCATCCTTTATTTATATGTATGTGAATCCATACCCACTTATGACTATATACATACACACACACACATACCTACCCACCTACTTACCTACCTACTTACCTACCTACTTACATACCCACCTACCCACCTACATACCTACATACACACACACATGCATACACACAGACAGATATACAGACATACAGACATCCATGCATCCATGCAACCTGCATCCCTGCATCCATGCATCCATGCAACCTGCATCCCTGCATCCATGCATCCACGCATCCCTGCATCCATGCATCCAAGCATATATGCATACATGCATACATGCATACATGCATCCATCCATCCATACATACATACATGCATGCATACATACATGCATACATGCATGCATGCATGCATACATACATACATCCATGGATAGCATGCATGCATGCATGCATGCATGCATGCATGCATGCATACATCCATGCATCCATGCGTCCATGCATCCATTCATCCATTCATCCATGCATCCACGCATCCACGCATACATACTACATACTAGTGTATGTTTTTGTTCTCTATACATTCATATGTCTAATTACATTTGAGGATTTTTACTTTCCCGAAGCATCCTTTCAGCACCTTGAGGAGTTGCCTGCCCCCCCCAGCAGCCGTGAATTCATTGCCACTGCCGCGGTGAATGCGATGGGCAAGGCGACAAGGTGGAAGCTAAGCCGCAGATATTTGGGGTGGTTAGAGGCCAATAAAAACAGCGGGCCCATACCCCGAACATAGGAAATTAAAGTGATTTATAGTATTTACAGTGATTTATAGCGATTTTATAGTGATTTCATACCCCCTAATAAGGAACTTATTTGATTTTCCAGTGATTCGATGTGAATAATAGGGATTTAAGCAACAAACATGAGGATATCAAGAGGAATTACCATTTAAGTACTGGTAATTTAACATAGCTATGGACGCCATGATCTTTAGTTCAATCGTTTAGCTTGTCATCTCCAGAAAATTTGGGGGTACTATGGGGCATCCTCCCGAAACTCGACGAGGATAATATGGGGATGAGATAAAACCAGCAAAATTGAAGTTTTGAATGGAAGAAGTATGAAAAAATGATGAATCTTCAATTATGGATTGGATGATTTGGGTAATATTGCAATAGCCTTTGTTACACTGGACATGATCAGAGTGGAGATGAGTTGATCAAGGAATGGCCGTAGGCCCTGAGGGGAGGCTTTCTGGGACCCTGCCAGCATCATGGAGTCATGGTGGTGTCTTTCATTACCGGCAATAAAGCATTGCAAATCCCTTGAATTATCCTCCGGTCGACCATGGCGAGTTTTTTCCAATCCAATAGTTCGAAGTTCGAAGACTTTTCTAGCTACAAACCTCCATTTATACGGAAATTCCATATATGGTCCTATAATTTCCCATGATTTTTTCGGATATTTCCATGAATTCCTCCATTTTGCGGGATTTCTGCCATGGCATTCCGATGACCTGCGAGAGCCAGTTCTCAGGACATGGGCCTTGGAGATTCTCCAGCGGCTGCAGTTCCTTTGTTGAACAACGTTGGTTATCCCATCGTTAGGAGGGAACTAAGGAGCTAGGGCCAGCTAGGGCCTTAGGATGCCGGATGGATACCCCGGGGTATCCATGTTTTTCCTATGAAATGGGGAGCCTGGGGGCCACTACGAGTTTCCATGCTATGGAATATTCATGAATATGACATATGGATTATTAGTGGGATTATGATGAGTTAACCCAACCAATGAATTATCAATGGATTATTAATTGGATATGAATTGGAAAATATGGGAAAATCCACTACCAATGGAAGTTTATAGCTGGGAATATCAACTATAAATAGTGAATCATGGGATTATCCATGGATTATCATTGAGATAAATGGACGATGATAATGGAATATTAACGGGATTATGGCTTAACATTCTTTAAACAATCTACTGTAAATGTGGGAGTGCGGAATATTCAACAATCCCTAGTGCTCACAATGCCTTTTAAGGAGGTGTTTAGACCCCCAGACACAACCCCAATCACATTCTCAGGGCTACGGATTTCAGATCTTGTGCCTATCTATCGATCGACCGATCGATCGATCGATCTACCTAATCTATCTATCTATCGATCGATCTATCGATCTATCTATCTATTATCAATATATCAATCTATCAATCTATCGATCTATCGATCTATCAATCTATCGATCGATCAATCTATCGATCTATCCATCTATCCATCTATCCATCTATCGATCCATCGGTCGATCTATCCATCTTTCCATCTATCCATCTATCGATCCATCGGTCGATCTATCGATCTATCGATCTATCTGGTTGTCTGTCTATCTATCCCATCTATCCTATCTATGCTATCTATCCTATCTATCCTATCTTTCTTATCTAATCTATCTAATCTATCTAATCTATCTAACTTATCTAATCGTTCTAATCTATCTATCTATCTATCTGTCTGTCTGTCTGTCTGTCTGTCTGTCTGTCTGGCTGTCTGGCTGTCTGTCTGTCTGTCTGCTTTATCTTATCCAATCTATCTATCTATCTATTTATCTATCTATCTATCCATCTATCTATCAATCAATCAATCAATCATAGTGCAACACTTGGCAATTCATATGGTTGGCTAGTATTTGCAGGCATTGAATCAAAGGCAGCCACATTGGGACTTAAATTGCTAAAATTGGTGCTCTCGACCCAGGTCTTCCCTGCAAGTTGGCTTAGTTGCTTGTCTGCAGGCTGCACTTCCAGGTGCCTGGCCAGGTCACCCAACTTGACCGAATGGAAAGTGGGGGGAAAGGCATAAACAACTCATGCACACACACAAATTTTGACACACATTTGGGCTAAAGGATCCAGATCTTTTCCAGGAATCCTAGGATGGTGATTGACCGATGTGTTTGTTGCTTGGCTGTCGGTCTGGCGAAAATCCAACAAGTCATTTGGAGGGGCCAAAGTTCGGTCAAAGAGACGACATTTGTCGAAACCCAAAAAAAGGGTTCCGCTGGCAGTGTACTGAGGTTACCTACAACGCCACTCTCAGTGCACTGGCCCAAGGGCAGTGACTTGGTCTTGTTGCCTTCCGGCGTTATCAAACATGGCTGGGAAACCCCCGAACTCAATGGAGGTTTACAGTCGTTTGCAGGTAAAATCATCGAGCTATAGCTGGGGATTTTTCCCCACCTGCCAGGTGAGGGTTGTTAGATTTTATGTCAGTTGCCTCCTCCTTCTCCTCCTCCTCCTCCGCCTCCTCCTGCCTCGTCCTCGTCGTCCTCGTCCTCCTCGTCGTCCTCGTCGTCCTCGTCGTCCTTGCTCAACTGCGACCCGCGATCCACAGTGTTCTCTGCCGGACCTCAACCACGACCATCTGCGCCCAGTGTTCCCTGCCGGACCTCAACCACGACCATCCGCGCCCAGTGTTCCCTGCCGGACCTCAACCGCGACCATCCGCGCCCAGTGTTCCCTGCCGGACCTCAACCGCGACCATCCGCGCCCAGTGGTCCCTGCCGGACCTCAACCGCTCTTCTGACATATCTTCTGACATTTTATTTGGCATTCTATCTGGCATATCTTCTGGCATATCTTCTGGCATTCTATCTGGCAAATCTTCTGGCATTCTATCTGGCATTCTATCTGGCATATCTTCTGGCATTCTATCTGGCATATCTTCTGACATTCTATTTGACATTCTATTTGGCATATCTTCTGGCATATGATCTGGCATATCTTCTGGCATTCTATCTGGCATATCTTCTGGCATTCTATCTGGCACTTCTGACATATCTTCTGACATTTTATTTGGCATTCTATCTGGCATATCTTCTGGCATATCTTCTGGCATTCTATGAAATCAGTTTGGTGCCAGCTGCAGTGGAAAACATGATGCTTTACCGCAGCATGCGCGCCCGTCAAGATGAAGGCCTTGATCCAGCCAGCTATTTCCACCCAGGAGAGCTCATGGGACACATACCAATTTTGCTGATTGCAGGTGATTTTTTGCAGATCAAGCCTGCCAACGAGATCTCCTTAGCTGACAATCTCGAAGAGCTGATCCGCAAAATGCCGCACAGAGTGCAGACAGAACACCATGCTGCCCAGGCGGTTGATGACCATTGATACAGTGATTCATTTGAAGAAGTCGAAGCGGTTTCTGGATGCTCACCTGCCAGAAATCACAACAGCCATGCGCACGTGCACGCCTGCTGCTCCCTTGTCCGAGAATCACTTGGCTCAGCTGCGCACTCGCAAAATCGAAAATTGCAAGAAAGAACTAACCACAGACTTGTTCAAGCATGGTCACGTCATTGGCATGTATTGGGAGAACATTGCTCGCAGCATGGTGGAACGGGCAAATCGAGATGCGCAAGACCTGGATGTGCCGTTATTTTGTTTGCAAGCTGCTGACCAAAGGCATTCCAGAAAAAATAAAACCATAGACAAGCAGCTGACGCATCAGCTGCTCACTGTTCCAAACCCGCATCGCACTGGCAAATTGCAAGGCATGCTACTGGTGCACGAGAACATGGTTGTGCGACTGGCGGATGTCTTGGCTCCACACCTTGGATTGGTTAAAGACAAACTGGCAGTGGTAGTGAAAGTGGATTTGCACCATGAAGATCAGAAGCGCCTGGACCGTCGTGAACCTGGATTCTGTCATTTTTTTCCGGACTACATGGCCAAAGGTATCTGGGTGAAATTACTTAAAGGAAAGAATTCGCCCATGGAAGATGCTCTGTTGCAGACGTGGGAAGAAAAGTTTCAGAATGTGGCCGATCACACAACTGACGCAAAGACATTGTTCTTTGTGGAATTGGTGCATGCAGAGTTCAAAATTGATTTGAAACTAGGCGAGGAAACGGAGAAAATTGAAGTGATTCGCTGGCAGTTCCCGCTTTTGCATGGCATGCTGCGCACTGCTTACAGCGCGCAAGGCTTGACTTTGGACGGAGGTGTGCTGGTTGATTTGCGTCGTGGTGGTGGCCTAGAGGATGCGGACTGGTGGCTAGCCATCTATGTCATGCTGACGCGTGCCCGCAAACTGAAGAATCTCATCTTGCTGGGGTTCACGGAGCAAGTGGAGGAGCTTTTACGCAAAGGCCCTCCTACCTACTTGCGAGAACTGACTGACAAGTTGGAAGCCAAAGCTGCTTCGACGCTGGAGCGGCTGCAGTCCTGGCCTGTCTATGATGCATTGCAAGCATCCTGACACAGTGTTCTGCCAGTGGGACCTAATCGGTTTTGACTGAAGAGGTCCGGGAGAGGCATAGGCCTGACACGTTGCTCTACCTGTGGGACCTAATCGGTTTTGATTGAAGACGTCTGGTGGAGAAATAGAGAGTTGCAGCTGCAGCGATCTGATGAAGTAACACTGGCATGGTTTTGTTGAGTTTAGACGTGAGCTTGCGAGCCTTTGACTTTGGTTCAGGGGTCCACTGGCTTGGTTCAGTCATGTTTGTACAAACATGTTTGACAGGCGGCATGCTGACATGTTTGGGCATGTTTGTTTGTTTGGCTCAGGTTGTCCACTGGCCTGTTTGGTCATGTTTAAACAAACCTGTTTAAACAAAAGTGGTGTCAACAAGCTGTTTTGAAATGTCATGGTGGGGATCACTCGAAGTAAAGTAATTTTAGCATTTTCTAGCCATGTTTGATTGCCAGCGGGTGTGGGTCAAAATTTGCATGGTCACTGTAGTGGTTGGATTGAAACTGATTGCATGTCAGAATTTGATTACTGTACTCCAATTTGATTGAATACAGTAATGTTTCTCCCTAACATTTGCATGATTCCCGAATTCTATTTTATGAGGAGATTGGAATATCGCCATCTTCAGCATGGTTTTGCCAAGATGTTAACGTCATATCGCCAAAAGGGGAAGGGTCAAGATCGGGATGCCCAAAATAGTAATGTCAGCAAGATCGAACACACACACACATATATATATATATATAAGTAAATCAACTCTATTTTGTTAGTGGTTTCACTTTTCCCTCTTTGGTGGGTTCGTACATTGCATATGATTATAATTGATTGCATAGTGATACAATATATAATAGTAACAGTAAGACAATGACCAACACTTGCAGTTCAAACTCAATTTTGGCACATAACTACGATACGCATATGATGTGGCACCTAGTCTAAGGTGAACACTTTCACAACCGCTACACGTGTCTCTAGTGCTTTCATACTTCCCCCACTGCTACTGAACTCCGGTTGGATCCATTTGGCAATCAAACTTGCAGGATATTTAGCCATTCAGTTCCATGATTCTCCCATTCAACCCCCTTCTTTCGTGCGGAAATTTCCTAGCTATGTGGGCTGATTGCCAGCTGGGCTGGCTTCTGCGCCAGGCAGTGGCAGCTCGCTCTGCAACTGCTCACAGAGATGGAGGGCACGGACATCATCAGCCACAACAGCTGCCTGAGCGCCTGCGAGCGCGGGAGTCAATGGCAGCAGGCCCTGCAGGTCCTGCAAAACCTCAGCGAGCTGAGTCCGTCCCAGCCTGATATCATCACCTTCAGCACCAGCATCAGCAGCTGGGCGGATCGGTGGAGTTGATGGGTGGAAACTGCGCGTGATGATGGGTTGATAATTCTTGTCCTGGCTCATAACTTTCAATTAATCTATCTATTTTCGGGCATGATGGAACTGGGGAGACTAGCTTTGTATACATTTGTTGGCAGTTGTTTCCTTTCCAGATCATGTTGCCAGATCCTACTGAGAGGCGCATGTGCCAAAGGGGAAGCGTGGCAAAGTGCGCTAACCCTTTTCGCAGAGTTTCGTTCCAAGCAGCTTGGGACAAACTTGATCCTTGGCACCTGCATTGGGGGAGGAAATCATGGCATGGCGCTCTACCCACCCTATTGCATACAATAGGGCGCCTTTCTCGGTTGGTGTTTGGGGACCAGCAGTATTCCTAGAACAGCCCCAAAAGGGGAAGGGCCCTACTCACTCAGTCCAATAATGGTTCGGGACGTCATGACCGGAATGGGAAGGATCTCAAACCACCTGAGACCACCCGCCCGGCCCGCCCTTTACTGATCAAAACGGAGGATCTTATTGTCTGCAGCTGCGAGTTCTTGTGAGAAGGGCTCACAATGGCAGTCAGCTCTGGCGCTGTTCGAGGAAGCCAACCAGATGGACCGCGGACCTGACGCTCGTTGGAAGTTTCAGCTGTGGTGCCCGACTCATTTGACTGGTCATGTGGGCACCACTGATGGGGATTTCCCCTGGCCATCCTCCCAAATCATTTGCTTTCAACACAAAAGCTGAAGGTAAAACAAGTGGCTTCCTGAAAAACTCGCCGCAAGTCAGCCAGAGACTATCATGTTTGTTGATTGAATCTCAGGTGAATTCGTTTTTGAAAGCAAAGTCCTTTTTCCCCCTTGATTGGACCAATCCTTTTTCAAGCCCACCCCTTAATTATTGCTGGTTTGTCGATACAATGTTTGCTGCTTAAGAGCCCTTAAAATCATCAATTCCTTGTCCGAAAAGGCATGCTTGCGGACAACGGAAAATGTACTTTTGTTGCCTTAAATCATCCATTTTAGCCCATCTCAGACTCAACCAAACATGCTATTTATATTTATACCACATTCTCATCAAAAAACAAATTCAAAACATGAAAAGTCGAAGTTTGCAGCGCTGATCGGTGCTGAATTCAGGACATCGTTTTGATGGGTGCGGTGATCAGCGCCTGCGGGAAGGCCGCCCAGTGGCAGCGCTGCCTGCAACTCCTCAAGCAGACCAAACTGCTGAGGTGGGGACGGGATGGCTTGGTGCTGGGATCATTTACGGAGAAATCAGGAACCCTTGGTGATGTGGATTATATAACTGTTTTATAATGTTTTATATTGGTTTTGTTAAATTTCTGTATTTTGTTTCAATTAGACTGTGGTTGATTGTTTGAGGTGGCGAAAGTCTTTTTGGTGATGGCTTTAAACCACCAACCAGACTGTTTGCTCGGTAGAAAATATAGAAACAAATATGGTTTGTTCCCTTTGTTGAGGAAGCTGGGATGTACCGCAAAGATTTGCCGGCCAAAGTTGTGGCTTTAAAAGTGGTAAATGTTCAACAATTAGACACTGTTTAGGGAGGGTTATCCGAGGTCCAACATGTTTACCTGATCCAGGGATATCCAGGGGTTATATTTGTCACAGTTTGAAAACATGTCATATGCTTTCCAATCCCGAGGTTATCACAATTTCCCACAAGGAGTATATCAGATTCCTAGATAAGCTTGATAACCCCCATGTCTATTTGTGGATGGTTGGCTCGTTTGCACATCCCCAGTGATGGTTAAACCGTTGACATGTCATATAGATTCATAGATCAAAATTGTGCATATAGAACCACCAAAGGCTTTTCCGGCATGTGGAAAATTATGTCTATCACATGATTTCTAGATTTGCGCTTGCTCTATCCCAGTATTGGTGTAAGGGAAGATCGACAGGAAGACCCCTAAAATTACTTGTGAGTAAAAACTATATGGCTTCCTGTAGGGTCAGATTTGATCGACAAAACCATTCCATAACATGTGAAATCCCAGTTCTTCATGGCTAAGCCGGCTAAAACCCATGGTTTTTCATGGGTAAATCCCCATTTTCCATGGGTAAATCCCCATGTAACTGGTGGGTAACTCGGTAACTCCTCATGGATCGTGGATCCCCAGGATCCGCAGCAATCTCATCACCTACAACGCCTGTTTGAGCGCCTGCGAAGCTGTCAGTGAGTGGAGTCCAGCCCTGGCACTTCTGCAGGTGGGTTTTTGTTTTTTAACTACCCTCTGGTAATTTAACGTAGCTATGGAAAATCACCATTTTTAATGGGAAAGTCCACTATTAATGGCCATTTTCAATAGCTATTTTGACATAACCAGAGGGTACTATTGTGGTAAATGACTGTTTTTCATTGTTTTTGGTCATGAGTATCTCTCTATATAAAACGATTAATATAGACACATTATAATATGTGTTTCCATTATTGAATTGGATTGATAATCTATATATCCTTATGGAATAAAAATCTAATTCAAGATAATCTAATTCAACCATTATCTAGATAATTATCCATGGCCATGCGGTTGCAAAATCTAAATGGACGGGGTGCCTCAATATAGGATATGGGATGGGATATGGACAATGGATACACATCCCTTGTTGGGGTATCAACCATGGGTAAATTTCATGGTCATACAACGGATACATATAAATTTATATAACTGTACAACTAACACAATGTTTGTTCAGATTCTTTTCGATGGACTAAAAAATGGATGGTGTGTATGGTCATTATATATGATTATGTGAATATCAGTGGCATATCATACATTTACATGATATTGTAATGCTAATAAAGGCTATCGATTGAATATATATATATATACATATATAATTATATATAATCTTAATTGTTCTTGTATAGCAATTGGGATAAATACCAAAAGATGGGCATATACTCAATTTAAATACAGGAAACTCACCAATCAACCAGTATATTTCTAAAGAACCATGATCTCTAGACGGTAACCCCCAGTTCCGTGCCAGTTGCGTCAGGCAGCTTCTGACCAACAGCTGCAGGCCGATGTGATCACTGCGGCATGTTGCATCGGTGCGTGTGGCAGTAGATGGGAGGAGGCGGGGAGGAGAAACGCCAAGGAATCCCCAGGGGACCACGGATCATGGTATTCAAAGGAGATAATCATATAACCACCATTAACCAACATTAACCAACCAATTATGACAGCCAACATTAGCCAACATTAACCAACATTAACCAACATTAACCACCATTAACCAGCATTAACCAACCAATTATGACAGCCAACATTAGCCAACGTTAACGAACATTAACCAATTTATGGAAGAATTGATGGGATATAATGTTTACCCTCTGGTAATTTGACAGTTTGCGAACTCGAACAATCACCATTTTATACAATAGGTGAATCAACGAACTAAATGGGCCATTGTCAATAGCTATGTTCAATTACCAGAGGGTAGTGCTATTACTGTATTATTTTATTAGACTTGTTTATTATTACATTCTCTATATCATCATGTTATATTATAATCCATCAAGGGTTGCGTTCACACCCAGCTTCTAACATAAAGCATCATAAAGCAATGAAATTGATGGGTTGCTAATACCCCTCAATGCGTGGGTATACTTGAAAAGAACAACTTAGAACAACTTGACCCAACAACTTAATGTTGACCCGGTCGGCTACTGCGGGTCATGTGAGGCGATGGATTTGCTGCAGAAGTTTCAGCTGAGTTTTTTTGCTGAGATCATCTCGTTGGGAGTCGTCGTTTGCACCCATGAAAAAGTGGGCCTCGTTTAAGTGTATCTTTGGTTTGCAGTTTTGCAGTTTTCGGGCGTTGGTCACCAATGGTCCGGTGGTTTCATTGGGAACTACCTCCATCTCTAGTGATCTCTAGTGCTATTAAATAGGTCTATCGGTATCGAGGGGTTGAAGCTTTCGCAGGGCGAGTCATCAGTATACGGTATACGCTTTGCCTAGCTGATGCATCACTGACACGCATTGCCTACGCACATATCTCTGTCCAGAGATTAGACAGTAACCCGAAACAGGTAGAACGTAATTTACATCAATTTACCAACAATTTAGTAGCGCGTGTGTGTCTTCCATTTTTTGGGAGGTTGCTAAAGAAACGCATACGGAGGGATTTGTTTTTGGTTTTACTTCATGTAATCCCATCCCCTAACATCAAATACACCCCCAATGAAACCCTGTTTTCACAGAATTGGATGATTGGAACATAAATAAAAGTTGAACCCCCTCATTTTAAAACTGTCAAAGCCATGGGTTTCCAAAAAACTTCCGGTGACGATTCTCAGGCTTCAAATCCCATCAGGTCGCTTGCGCTTCAATCTGGTAGCCTACACTGCTGCCATCAGCAGCTGTGAGAAGGACAGAAAACCGTCGAACAATTGGCAGTGGAGATAAACTGGGAGTTTAAACATCTGAAACTGCTAACATGTTTCAACACAATTTGCTATTCTTGTTGCTTGTCATTCCAGATATGGCTCAGAATGCGGGAATCTCTCAATTTTTTGGATGGTGTAAGGTAGATGTTACTGGGAAATGATTCCAAAGAACTCATTGCCATGATTGTATCGTCCGGATCACCACCAAGGGACCATGGATTCTATAAGTCATTGGGTCATGGATATGTGGCCAGTTGAGAACCAGGAATACTTTTGGTTGTACGAACTGGTGAGCACTTTAGAGTCCAGTTCCGCCGAAAATCATGGATAGATCGAGGTCTGTGATTGAACAGGTATCATGAACGAGTTCCAACAGATGTTTGTTTTCATGTTTATTTATTTTTAACATCCAAGTATGAAGATGACCAACCAGTACAAGTTCTGGTTTCCATGTCGACTTTCAGAATTTCACCCCCCCGCCACGCGCACGAGGCCAAGCAGTGGCAGCAGGCTCTCAGCATTCTGGCAGAGGTCGAGCAGGAACAGCTGAGCCTGGGCACAAGACAAATCCAGTTATGGGTGATGAATGGTGATTAATATGGGCTGAGTAATGGTTTAACATGTTTTAACATTGGATTAACAGTTAATAACTTCATAATTCATGATTCATAATAGTGAGTTAAGAATGATTAATGGTGATTAATGCTGATGAATGGTGATTGATGGATTTGCCCTCCGGGAATCAAACATGGCAAGCTGCGCATGGCCCCCTACGGGCGTTGACACCAAAAACATTTTTTCCATCCTGTTTTCGGATATTTAGGACAGGATGCTGATCGTACTTGTAGCAGGATGTGTTGATGGTAACTCAAATGCTCAGGACCCAAATAAGCGTGCCCTGTCCACTGTCCACTCTTGAACGACCATCATCATCTAGATTCACGAAACCAGTCGAAGATTATATATCCAAGGTTACCCCACGATACTCGCTCTCTTGACGCGAGGCATCAAACCATGATTGTCTCAAGTTGCTTGCCGTTGTCATCAAACATGGCTAGCTCGGAGAATTATCCATTTACAATTAAATGGGATCCAATGTGAAAATCTGCTATGAGCCAGAGGATTTTCCATTGCCATGTTTCTTTACCAGAATGGGAGCAAAGTCTAATTTTGAGAGCGATCCCATTCACAGTACAGGACAGTACATCCAATGAGAGATTTCATGTGCTTGACAAGAGCCTCCAAATTCTCCAAGTTATGGGTTTCAAAGATGATGCTTTTAGTGCGACGGTACATTTTTTTGTTGGGGTTCTATCTTTGATTAATTTTGTTTGGGTGTACTGCTCAATGAACCCATGTGAACCCCTTGAGCACAGTGCGATTGCCTGGCGGTTTTTGTCTCGAATCCTAGGATTCAAGCTCCGATCAAGCATGGTTGTACCGTATGTTTAACACTTGGTGATGTCAACCATGTTTAACAAATGATATCACCATGTGCAAAAACCACTGCAAAAACAGTGGTTAATAGTATTAATAGTGTTTTTATTCCACATGGTAACCACTGTTTTTTTCTTGGAATCCCATCCTTCCAGTGAATCAAACATGGCACCGGCTGCGGCAGTTGGCGCCGAGGCAACCGGATGTGATTCTGCTGTCGGCCGCCATCAGCGCCTGTGAGAAGGGCGAGAAGTGGCGTCTCTTGGTGAAATCGGGGACGTGAAGGGACAAATCGGGAGACAAAGTCATGGAAAACCTATAGAAACCCATGGAAAACCCATGCGTTGTTTTTCCCGAATGCGTAGCAAGGGTTCCCGTTTCACTCTGGGGGTCTGGGGGCTGAGGGTGTGTTCGCTCGACGTTGCGTTTGTGGTCGCAACCGTTCGCAACCGTTCGCAACCGTTCGCAACCGTCCGCGCGATCCCCGTATGGCCGTGCCTATGGGAAGTTTTACAGAGGTGGTCCTTTTTGGAGGTTTCAGACGTGTCGTTGCTTCGTTTCGCGTGGCAGGCGTGACACTTCGTGACATTCAGACGTGTTCTGGAACGTGTCGAAAGTCGTTTTGCGTGGCAGGCGCAATACTTTTGCGACGTTTTCAGAAGATGTGTTGCAGTTTTCGTGGCAGGCGCAGCACTTTGGACGTGTCCATCGTCATTTTTCGTGGCAGGCGCAGCACTTTAGACGTGTCATGTTGCGTGTTTTTTGCAAATCGCATTGGCAGGGCTGCGTCAAGTGGCGACAAGGTGCAAATTCCGTGGCAGGCGTGGCATTTTGTGCGATGCGTTGAAAATTGACGGAAGCCTCGCACGAAACATCGATTTTGAGGTTGCCAATTTTCACGTTCTAAGGAAAACTCGTAGGAAAACGTCGATTTTGAAGCTACAAAGTGTGAAAATTGGAGGAAGTCTCGCACGAAATGCTCGTTTTGGCGCTCCCACGTGTCGCGTCTCGCGTCTCTGGTTTTCCGGTGGCCTCGCCGTGTCTATGGTGGAAGCTGCTTTTGTCATGTTGCCAACTGTGAAAATTGGAGAAAGTCTCGTGCGAAATGCTGGTTTTTCTGCATCCACGTGTCTTGTCTCGAGTCGCTGGTTTTCCTGTGGCGTCGCTGTGTCTATGGGGGAAGCTGGAAAACATGTCCTTTTCGAATGTGTCCAAGCAGGTTGTCATGTCGTTTTGCGTGGCAGGCGTGGCACTTTGTGACAATCCAAACTTGTTTGATGATGTGTTGAAAATGTCAAAATTGGAGGATGTCTCGTACGAAATGCTGTTTTTTCTGCATCCACGTGTCTTATCTCGAGTCGCTGGTTTTCCTGTGGGGTCGCCGTGTCTATGGGGGAAGCTGGAAAACATGTCCTTTTCGAATGTGTCCAAGCAGGTTGTCATGTCGTTTTGCGTGGCAGGCGTGGCACTTTGTGACAATCCAAACTTGTTTGATGATGTGTTGAAAATGTCAAAATTGGAGGATGTCTCGTACGAAATGCTGTTTTTTCTGCATCCACGTGTCTTATCTCGAGTCCCTGGTTTTCCTGTGGGGTCGCCGTGTCCATGGGGGAAGCTCTGCACTCCACACTTTACACTCCACACTCCACAATTTACACTTTAGACTCCACACTGTACACTTTACACTCCACACTTTACACTTTGCACTTTACACTCCTCACTCCTCACCTGAGACTTTATACTCCACACTCCACACTTTACACTGCACTCTACACTTTCCACTCCTCACTCCACACTCTACACTTTACACTCCACACTCTACACTTTACCCTCCACACTTCACACTTTACACTACACACTCCTTACTTTACACTCCACACTTCACACTCCACACTTTCCACTCCACACTCCACACTCCACACTTTACACTCCACACTTTACACTCCTCACTCCACACTTTACACTCGTCACTTTGCACTCTACACTCCACACTCTACACTTTACACTCTACACTTTACACACTACACTCCACACTCCACACTCTACACTTCACACTCTACGCTCCACACTTTACATTTTACACCCCACACTCCACACTCTACACACCACACTCTACACTTTCCACTCCACACTCTACACTTTACACTCCACACTCCACACTTTACCCTTTACACTCCTCACTCCACACTCACACTCCACACGCTACACTCCACACTCCACACTTTCCACTCCACACTTCGCACTCCACACTCCACACTTTACTGTGCACTCCACACTCCACACTTTATACTTTACACTCCTCACTCCACACTCCACACTTTACACTCCTCACTTTACACTCCACACTCCGCACTCTACACACCACACTCTACACTTTCCACTCCAGACTCCACACTCTACACTTTACGCTCCGCACTCCACGTTACACTTTACACTGTGCACTCCTCACTCCACACTTTACACTTTACACTCTACACTTTACACTCTACACTCCACACTTTCCACTTTACACTTTACACTCCATAATCCACACTTTACACTCCACACTCTACACTTTCCACCCCACACTGCGGACTGGTAACAAGGGAAACATATACAAGACTGTTCAAATATAAACTATTGCAGAAAGGTATTGTGCGTGACTGCATAACCATGTGTTTTGACATCTGTCCCTTTTAACATACGTGTGAGCATTCGGGTTCGTGGGCTTCATCTTGTTTTTTAACAGGTAATATGGGGTAATGTTGATGATAAATTGGAAAAAAAACAGGTGGCTGGTGAATGATTGAAGGCTGATACATTAAAACATGGGTTCCTGACAAGTTAAAACATAGGTTCCTGATATGTCAAAACGTCGGTTCTTCTGAAAGCACCATGGGACAAAGCATGGGAGTCAAGAGGAGCTGCTTTGCAATTTGGATTCACGATTTTTCTCCCAAAGGTTTGGAGGATATGGCTCAAATATCACTTTAGAATACTTTATAAAGAAAGGCAACAAAGATTTGGCTGTACCCTCTGGTAATTTCAAATAGCTATGGAACATAGCGAATATGTAGATGATTTATGATGCTTTATGACTTCTGATGCTTTATGATGATTTACCATCAAAAAATGATAAAACATTGTGATATTTTCCAATGCGTAACGCAAGAAATTTGGGGGGTACTTGCCAAAAGCTCCAGGTGACGCTTTGTTGCTGCTGGAGCGTTGCGAGGTGTGGCTGCGTGGCGGGTGCGGAGCTATCATCGGGAAACATCAATTATAAATGGTACATCTATACCATATGTAATCCATATGTAACAAATTAGCAGAGGGTCAGAGGGTAAGTTGATTTATATTTGCACATAAATTGTAGATTGATTCTGAGTTTATTGCAATGTCCCAATATATACATATATATATATATATACACACGCATACCCTCTGGTAAACTAACATAGCTATTTATGGAAACTCACCATTTTGAATAGGTAAATCAACGAACTAAATGTGCAATTTTCAATAGCTATGTTAAATTTCTAGAAGGTATATAGATTCACTTGTCAATGATTGTTTGGGTTGCTGTAAGTTTGTTGGAATATCCCATTTATGGACACCTTTAATCCTCTATATATATATGTATATATATATATACTGGTTGGTGGTTTGGAACATTTTCCCCCATATATTGGGAATAATAATCCCAACTGACGAGCTCATATTTGTTTGCAGATGGGTAGGCATGGTGCACCAAGCAGATTTTGTGCCCCATGGGATCCCACGACCAAGGCCGCCAACGTCATCGCCTTCTCTGCCAGCATCAGCGCCTGCGAGAAGTGCGGCCGCTGGGTGCAGGTCGTGGAGCTCCTTCGGCACCTGCGCTACGCCAGGCGTTTGGAAAACAGCTACGTTGAATTACCGGAGGGTGTTCACCAGTCAGGAGTTTCCTATGGATTATTCCAGTATCCCTCCGATGATTTTGGAAAATTCCACATCCCCCTGATATCCATTTTTGGATGATTTTTCCAGGTAAAAGTCCCGAAATTTGTAGATGATGTTTCCAGTTCAACGTTCCACCTTCCCATGGCTCTGCAGAAATTCCAGCCAGGCTGCAGCCAACAATCACCACCTACAACGCATCCATCAGCGCGTGTCAAAAGGCCACGACTTGGCAGGTGGCATTGCACTTGTTCCACGACTTGCAGGCCTCCGGAATCATGTGGAAATATCATGAAATACCCTCTGGTTATGTCAAAATAGCTATTGAAAATATGGCCATAGAAATAGTGAATTTACCCATTGAACATGGTGATTTTCCATAGTTATGTTAGTTTACCAGAGGGTATCATGAAACGAATGGAAATGGCTGAACATATTTTTGCGTGAGACCATTTCGGGCCAATGATGTCTTTCAGGCATTTTCAGGCCATATAGCCGTTGCCTCCACAAGAATTCATGGATTGTTTCCACAAGTAAAACGCTTCTGTCTTGGTATGTGAATGGTATCCCCACCAGATCCAATTACACATTTTAAACATGACCGATGAAATTATACATGTACAATCAGTGTAACATATCCAATTAACATTTAACATGTAGCAGTTGTATATTTCATGACAATATACTGCAGATGTTCGTTTTCAAAAAATACATAGTACATGCACTGACATTTGCCCCATCCCACAGGTCCAGCGTTTGCAAGCAGACCGCATCAGCTTCTATGCCGTCTTGGCGGCCTGCGAAGCCAGCGCATGGCAAAAGAGCTTGGGGCTGCTACAGAAGATGATGGACGATACCGTGCCAGGCCTGGGAACCGCATGACGAACTTTCACTTCGGCCCTTGGGATCCAGGATTCAAATCTGCCCGCAGACATGAAATAGACCCAGGGTATCTCCTGAACCGAAGCCATTTGGCTTTGTCCAAAACATCGGTTACCTTTTACATGATCATCTTATGTTTTTATATATTTTTTAGATCATGTGTTCCCTATAGTTCGGATTCTTGGGTCCATTTATTGAACCAACCCCATTTTTCGACTCTCGATGCCACCGGGGCGCCCAGGGGACGTGGTATCCTTCAGCAGTGCATTGAAGGCCTGTGCCATGGCGCAGCAGCCGCAGTCGGCGGTGTTGGCCATGACACAGCTGGAGTCTGCCGCACTGCGAGCGTCATGAGAAGGATCATCGGATCCCGGTTCCTAACTGGTTAGTATATTATACATGTCGTTATCCCATGAGAAATGGTGATTTTATCGGACTTCAATGGTGATTTTTCATGGGATTTTACATATCAGGATCATACGCAAAAACCCCACTGAATTGGGACTTGAAGTCACACCAGGGCTATGAACCAGTTAAGATCCGTGGGATGATCAAAAAAAAGCGCGCGCTTTTTGGGACAAAAAGCAGACAAAGATTCGTGAGACATAGGGTATTTGTATGTATTTGTGGATACACACAGACACACCAGATATGTACTTGCACATACATGTTGCTGCATGTTGATGTAAATATCGACCTGACCTTTGGAAAACAAAAAGACTCATCAAACCTCACAGTTTGAGGTGTCACCTTTGTAGGAAGGCATGCCAGGGAGCCTCATGATCAAGGGAAGCTTCAGAGACAAAATGGGGCTAGCATGCCCACACTACGTGGTGATACCTTGTGGCTGAGCCCATTTTGTGGCAGTCATGATGTGCAGGTATCACCACGATTACCAGCACTGTTTCTTCCATTCTTAAAGCATTAACTATTTAAAGATCATAGATAAATTGCTCACCACAGGCCCTGAACGGAGCAGCATGTTCCATTTTTATTAGTCGTTAATGAAATGTGTTGTTGATGTTGTCTTCTGTTGTTCGTTGTGTTTGTGTGGGGTCCAGGACGGACCAAATTTATATATCCAAATTTGCTTGAGGGTTGAGATGCAACGGGTTGAACCTGGTGCGATTGCTGCCGCTGATGATACCCAGCCAAGGGGGAATATCGATGAATGGCGATGATTAGGATGGTGGGAATAGGTCAAAATCATTTAAATTGGTTATCTAATATCATAACCATAATCAAAACATAATGACCTCTACTATGATGCGCATGGTCCATTCTTCTATAGAGATATAAATCTACTAATAATAATTTATAATGATGCTATTTATTGCCCCATAGTTATATAGTATAGTAACATTTATATATTTAGTACAAGTGCAACTTATAGTTCTACCTCCAACAGCCCGAAGTTTTGGCTCCAGCCGTGGTGTGTTTGTTGTCCAATGGACACCCCATGGCCACTGCGGAGCTATACCAAGGCGATTGGCGCATTGAACAAGAGCAGCTGAGCCATTCATGTTTTGAATGGTCATTGGATGAGGAGCATCATCATCATCATCATCATCATCATCATCCTCATCCCTGAGCCAGAGTATGATGGGAATTGGATTGGGGATGATTGGGGCAACCCATAATTAGACCAAGAGAGAGTGTATTTAGTGTGGGATATGTGGGCAACCAATGCCATAAACCTACCATTTTGGGATTTTGGGATGGTTGAAAAATCCCAACCATAAAAATGGTGACTTTGGGGATGGTGACTGTGGTATTGGGTTCGCCACATGCTTTAGAAGATACCCTGGTTGATTGGTTGTGAAATAGGTAGCTATGCTACCAAGATTATTGGGAATTATGAGCTGATCTTAGCTTCGGATTAATGGGTCAGCCGATTTTTTAAATATTATTGAGGGGGTTTTGGTCATCGGAAGCTAAGATTAACCGCCCATTGTAGGGAAACCGTTGTCAACCAACTACAGCCACTTCCCCTGAGAATCTTAATTCCAATTACCAGGGTTTTGGGTGGTACAGGGCCGGTCAGGGTCCCTCAAGATCTCTAAACACGTTCTTTGCTTAGCATTATTAGTTTCAGCATAAATTATGGTGTTTTTGTTAAACCCTGGGATGATGATCCCAACGATCCAATAGTTATAACTGGGGTTTTTGACTAACTGCCAATCAGTTATAACCCACAAAGCCACAGTGGATTTTGTTGTGGGTGTTTTTGAGTCAACTGGTGGAATTGTTTGGTGAGTGACGAGTTCATATCCCCATCAAGACATGGATTTCCCATTGCCATGTGTGATTACCCAAGGTTCGGTTAGATGCATCGATTTTTGGTTGAGAACAGGCGGTCCCATTTTGTGTTTTTGCTCATGAGGCAATCTGTGGCAAGAGGCCTTGAGCTGTTTGGAGAAATTGGATGCACTGGCCATTCAATGCGATACCATCCTGTTCAACAGCGTCATCAGCGCATGCGGAAAGAGTGGGCAGTGGCAGATAGCATTGGAATTGATGCAACTCACACTGCACCAAGCAAAGGTTTTCCGAGAAAACGACAGTAATCCCTTCCCCCTATTACTAAACGTACCCCACATATTGAAAGCCTGGGGGGAAGGGCATTTAGTATGAGGGGCAGAGTATTAAGGTTAGTTTTATCACACTTATGAACTTTTGGCTGGACAACCTTTGATAATCTACAAATAATTTTTTTTTAGCCGGGTCAATTGCCCAGCGAATGGCCCACGAGGAAGAATTTGAAGGAGAAAAAACTGCAGGCTGATGTGACTCTTGGCCAGGATGCTTAGAGAGATAGGAGGTACAGTACCCCAAATCAAAAATGAAACCTGAAACTTGAGGTTTGCAGTTCTCATGTTTTTTTTGTTTAACAATGCTGGGAAGTGCTATGTTTGAGTCTCACCTTTTTTGTCGTTGGAATTTCTATACTGTCCAACAGGAACTCCCATCGCCAGTAATGTGGAGCATTGCATTGCGGCTTGGCAAGAGAGTTCTGTACCATTATTATGTAGGATTTTGCTGAAGGTTTACACAAGATATAAATAATATATATAACATCTCTCACGCCCATGGAACAATCAACCATGCCACAATCAGACTAGATGCACTTAGGGTTCCTAGGGTAAACATAAGATTAAGATAGATTAAGATATAACATCCCCACCCCCATCTTCATAATCATCATAATTGTTTTCATTTTAATGTTCATCATCATAATCATCATCATCATCAAGGTTTGCCCCGAAGCTCGTTTTGAGTTTTGGTAAGAAGTCTCAGGCTTTTGCAGTAATATTGGTACGTTTGTTGCTTTGCTGTTTGCCATGGAACTAAGTGGACAATTTTCCATAGCTTGGTTAAATGACCGGAGGGACATGTCTATTCATATTCCATTTGTGTTTGTTAAATCCTTGTGATCACTATAAAATCCCATTAAACCCCAATGTATCCCATGTATATGTATAATATACCCTCTGGTTATTTAACATGGCCATGGAAAATCACAATGTTTAATAGGTAAACTATCTATAAATGAACCATTTTCCATGGCTATGTTAAGTAACCAGAGGGTATATATATATATATCCCATGATATCCCCAGTACATCACCACTACATGTGGCAGAAATTCAGAGCCTAATAGGATCATCCCGGAAAGGTAAGTGGTTGGTAGATGTTGGTAGCCCCGGTGATTGTCAGTCCCCCAACCAACAGGTTCTCCCATTTATAATCGCCACCCACCACGGGGGATGGTCAACAAAAAGTGAGCAGTGTGCAAAACCCAACAGTTGGGTATTTTGTTTTAATACATATATTTTGTTCAAGGATTATCACAGGAAGTTTAGGGGGAGAAACTTCCGTGTTACGGACTTTTAGAATGTCAGGGAAAGAGTTAGTCAAAGAAAGAGTTAGCAAAGAAAGAGTTCGTCAGGGAAAGGGTTAGTCAAAGAAAGAGTTAGTGAGGGAAAGAGTTAGTCAAAGAAAGAGTTAGTCAAAGAAAGAGTTAGTCAAAGAAACAGTTAGTCAGGGAAAGAGTTAGTCAAAGAAAGAGTTAGTCAAAAGAGTTAGTCAAAGAAAGAGTTAGTGAGGGAAAGAGTTAGTCAAAGAAAGAGTTAGTTAGTCAGGGAAAGAGTTAGTCAAAGAAAGAGTTAGTGAGGGAAAGAGTTAGCAAAGAAACAGTTAGTCAAAGAAAGAGTTAGTCAAAGAAACAGTTAGTCAGGGAAAGAGTTAGTCAAAGAAAGAGTTAGTCAAAGAAAGAGTTAGTCAAAGAGTTAGTCAAAGAAAGAGTTAGTGAGGGAAAGAGTTAGGTCAAAGAAACAGTTAGTCAGGGAAAGAGTTAGTCAAAGAAAGAGTTAGTCAGGGAAAGAGTTAGTCAAAGAAAGAGTTAGTCAGGGAAAGAGGAGTCAAAGAAAGAGTTAGTCAGTTAGTCAAAGAAAGAGTTAGTCAAAGAAAGAGTTAGTTAGTCAGGGAAAGAGTTAGTCAAAGAAAGAGTTAGTCAGGGAAAGAGTTAGTCAAAGAAAGAGTTAGTGAGGGAAAGAGTTAGTCAAAGAAAGAGTTAGCAAAGAAACAGTTAGTCAGGGAAAGAGTTAGTCAAAGAAAGAGTTAGTGAGGGAAAGAGTTAGTCAAGAAAGAGTTAGCAAAGAAAGAGGTCGTCAGGGAAAGAGTTAGTCAAAGAAAGAGTTAGTCAAAGAAACAGTTAGTCAGGGAAAGAGTTAGTCAAAGAAAGAGTTAGTGAGGGAAAGAGTTAGTCAAAGAAAGAGTTAGTGAGGGAAAGAGTCAGTCAAAGAAAGAGTTAGTGAGGGAAAGAGTTAGTCAAAGAAAGAGTTAGTCAGGATATATGAGGTAGTCAAAGAAAGAGTTAGCAAAGAAACAAGTTAGTCAAAGAAAGAGTTAGTGAGGAAAAGAGTTAGTCACAGAAAGAGTTAGCAAAGAAATTGTTCCCTCACTGTAAATGGGATTGCAAGTGGTGCTGGTGGAGGAGTTGCCGATGGAGTTTTGAAGGAAGTCTCGCACGAAATGCGTTTTTGAGAGATAGCAGATGCACGAAAGCCTATGTTTTTCCATACAAAGTCCGTCCCCGAACCTCGATGATCTACCTCTGCGGTGCGACGGTTGCGAGACGGTCTCGTGTGTGGTCGGATCGGTCTCGGATCATTCTCGGATCGGTCTCGGATCGGTTCCGCATTGTAAATGGGGCTTCAACTGTGTTTCGTCCATGTGCGGTCGACAGAATTCCATTGTGATTTGCAACTGTAGGATCGTTCCCTCACTGTAAATGGGATTGCAAGTGGTGCTGGTGGATGAGTTGCCGATGGAGTTTTGGAGGAAGTCTCGCACGAAATGCGGTTTTGAGAGATAGCAGATGC